TCTCAGGTTTGATGACACAAATTAACATTTGTCCTCTGAAAAAGGAATCGAAAAGTTAAATTTTGTTTCATTTCTCTTCGACATTACAATCACTTCGCAATAGAGCTATTCTCTCATCTCTAATCAACTGCCACAAGCCGATTTCCGAATAACCTTCGAATGCTAGACCCTAAGTAAGAAATAGAATTCCATAAGCATGACCCATCTGGGTTTCCCGGTCCGTGAAGTATGAAGTACGATATAAATTTACAAAATGTATTCTAACAGTACACAAAACAAAAAATGCAACAATTCGGTACATGTGGCCCTAAAGAGGGCCGTTGGGTTGTTAATTGTCACAAGGAGATGCAACTTATCCTCCGAATCCATAAAGGGTTCTGCCTTGACGCTTAAGAGCATAGACGACATCCATAGCGGTGACGGTCTTTCTCTTGGCGTGCTCACAGTAAGTTACGGCATCACGGATGACATTCTCAAGGAAGACCTTAAGAACTCCACGAGTCTCCTCATAGATGAGTCCAGAGATACGCTTAACTCCACCACGACGAGCAAGACGACGGATAGCAGGCTTGGTGATACCTTGGATGTTATCACGAAGAACTTTGCGATGGCGCTTAGCTCCTCCCTTTCCGAGTCCTTTTCCTCCTTTACCACGTCCAGACATAATGCTTTGTGTTCTGTGAACAGTTGATACGTTTTTCGATTCATCAATATAGGTAGTCGTTTGCGCGCAGGCTCCGCCCACAATATACCAATTGGTCAGTAGAAATGACGCTGCATTTAGAGAATAGACAGAATGGTTAGATGTCCACAAAGTCTTTTAATACCAATTTCTGCGTTCTCATTCACTGATTAACTAACAAAGAGCGTTAATAGACCAAATTCATTCTTATCACAACAGTCTTAAAGCAATTCACATGAAACAAGGAAAAAGGTATTTGTGGCCCTAAAGAGGGCCGTTGGGTGAGATGGGAAGCACATCATCTATTCCTTTTCTCCGGCGGTCTTCTTGGGGAGAAGGATAGACTGGATGTTTGGAAGAACTCCTCCTTGAGCGATGGTGACACCAGAAAGAAGTTTGTTCAATTCTTCGTCATTTCTGACGGCGAGTTGAAGATGGCGAGGGTTGATTCTCGACTTCTTGTTATCACGGGCAGCGTTACCGGCCAATTCGAGAACTTCAGCAGCGAGGTATTCGAGAACAGCAGCCAAATAGACTGGGGCTCCAGCTCCTACACGTTGAGCGTAGTTACCTTTGCGGAGCATACGATGAAGACGACCAACTGGGAATTGAAGTCCAGCTCTTGTAGAACGAGACTTGGCCTTTCCTCCGGTCTTAGCTTTTCCTCCTTTACCACGTCCAGACATAATGCTTTGTGTTCTGTGAACAGTTGATACGTTTTTCGATTCATCAATATAGGTAGTCGTTTGCGCGCAGGCTCCGCCCACAATATACCAATTGGTCAGTAGAAATGACGCTGCATTTAGAGAATAGACAGAATGGTTAGATGTCCACAAAGTCTTTTAATACCAATTTCTGCGTTCTCATTCACTGATTAACTAACAAAGAGCGTTAATAGACCAAATTCATTCTTATCACAACAGTCTTAAAGCAATTCACATGAAACAAGGAAAAAGGTATTTGTGGCCCTAAAGAGGGCCGTTGGGTGAGATGGGAAGCACATCATCTATTCCTTTTCTCCGGCGGTCTTCTTGGGGAGAAGGATAGACTGGATGTTTGGAAGAACTCCTCCTTGAGCGATGGTGACACCAGAAAGAAGTTTGTTCAATTCTTCGTCATTTCTGACGGCGAGTTGAAGATGGCGAGGGTTGATTCTCGACTTCTTGTTATCACGGGCAGCGTTACCGGCCAATTCGAGAACTTCAGCAGCGAGGTATTCGAGAACAGCAGCCAAATAGACTGGGGCTCCAGCTCCTACACGTTGAGCGTAGTTACCTTTGCGGAGCATACGATGAAGACGACCAACTGGGAATTGAAGTCCAGCTCTTGTAGAACGAGACTTGGCCTTTCCTCCGGTCTTAGCTTTTCCTCCTTTACCACGTCCAGACATAATGCTTTGTGTTCTGTGAACAGTTGATACGTTTTTCGATTCATCAATATAGGTAGTCGTTTGCGCGCAGGCTCCGCCCACAATATACCAATTGGTCAGTAGAAATGACGCTGCATTTAGAGAATAGACAGAATGGTTAGATGTCCACAAAGTCTTTTAATACCAATTTCTGCGTTCTCATTCACTGATTAACTAACAAAGAGCGTTAATAGACCAAATTCATTCTTATCACAACAGTCTTAAAGCAATTCACATGAAACAAGGAAAAAGGTATTTGTGGCCCTAAAGAGGGCCGTTGGGTGAGGTTTGCAAACACAAACCAAGCAATTACTTGCTTGAGGTGTACTTGGTGACGGCCTTGGTTCCTTCAGAGACGGCGTGCTTGGCAAGCTCTCCTGGGAGGATAAGTCTGACGGCAGTTTGGACTTCACGGGAAGAGATGGTAGATCTCTTGTTGTAGTGAGCCAAACGAGAAGCCTCGTTAGCAATACGCTCAAAGACATCATTAACGAAAGAGTTCATGATGCTCATGGCCTTTGAAGAAATTCCGGTGTCGGGGTGAACTTGCTTCAAGACACGGTAGACATAGACGGCGTAAGATTCCTTTCTGGACTTTCTCTTCTTCTTGTCTCCGGTACGGGCGACTTTCTGGGTCTTGGCGGCTTTCTTAGCTCCCTTGGCAGATGGCTTGGGTGGCATGGTTCGAGTTTCACTGACGGATCAAGTGGTGGTGACCAATTGGAAAAAATTCTTCTTGGCCTAGATAGCGCGCAGGCTCCGCCTATCGCTCTAAAAACTAGCCTATAATTTTGAAGAGTATGAGCGTTTCCTTTTTCTCATTTCGCTCATTTCATTTAATCCAATATGTTATAATGTTTTTAGAACAGATTCAACTTGTACCAAAAGCTAGTTAAAAACTGTATTCTCGACGTTCTTCAACAATACGGTAATTTTCTCAGAAATTCGGAAAGTAGAACAAATTATGAACAATACTTCGAACTGTTATGAAGTTTTCATCTGACGAACCATTTGGCGTAGCCAGAAAACTTTCCGATTAGCATCTCGATTTCTGATATAACATTTAATAAGCATAAGTCATTATCTTATCGAATTACCTATTTGCTTGAGCGAAGCTCTTCTCTTCAGTGGATGTACATGGCTGACGTCGATCACCCCCTGACCATTCACCATTCTCTTTCCACGAGCATCCTCCATCTTCGTAAACTTCCTACAACCCATTGTTATAAATTGTAGATGGAGTCCTAATTTACTTTCTTCCAAATGGGTACAGTTCTTTTAAGTTCATCAATAGCCATTTCCGTGGCATGGATAGCATCTTTTCTATGTGGGGATGCAGTGGCTATCACTAACGAAGTCTCACCCACTGCCACCTCGCCTATTCTATAAGGTATGAAAGTATGATAACAATGCATGAGGAACACACCGATGAAATATAACAACTCGCTCAACGGAAGGATATTTTTCTCTCACAGCAGCACAGAGCTTACGTAATTCCTGTAAAATGAGAAAAATATGAAAAACAATGACCATCCTAGCCAACTTTATATGCCATCTCATCATAGCTTTCATAGTCCAGACGAACAACAATACGTCCATTGAAGGTATCTCGTGTTGTCCCCACAAAAACTGAAGTTGCTCCACATGAAGGACTGTTGATGAGTTTCACAGCTTCATTAATATCAATCGGTTCAAAACATATCCTAATGAAATCATCAGAGAAGGAGTGAATCAACTGGAGCAGAGCATTAAATCGTCAATCTTCAGAATACACTTACTGACATCATGATTTCTGTATCTGGTTGGTCTGAATCGCTACTAACATCCAAAAAGCTGAAGCGACGATCTTCACGTGCCAAAGCTAAAGCTTTCTGGAGATGTCGTTGGTAAGCCGGCCAGACCACTTCATCGAAATAGCCTTCATCATCCGGAGGATCGTAATGACGCGTAGTTCTACGTCGTCGACATGTTTTCTGTATAATTATTATGATCTGAGGTGTAAATCGTTACGTTGCTCACCTGATCTAAAGTCAAGAACACTATTCTATCACACAAATCAAGCACGTCTTTGATTTCAGTGATCATGTTACCCTCAACAATAACATAATCACTGCGTTGTCTAGCCTTGAAGTTTGGATTGCATGAGGAACAGATCGGAACGCGAAACCTCGTTAATAGCAGCAACACATTTATCCTGATCGACAGAAGTTGCACAATCGTAGTTGAAGAAGAAAATGGAAGAGTCTCCTGCCTTTCTTGGTACCTTCTCTACCTAATACAATTTCTGTAGACTTGCATTGGACGCGATAGAACGGAAACCTTCTCTTTCTCTAGATAGTAGTCGTCTTGATGCACCAGTTCCACTGTTGCTCCTTCTTCAACAAACTGAAAAACAAACATTCGTTTGAAGAACAATCAAATGCACCCACTATGTCAATTAACAAGTTTGCTATGGTAGTTTTCCCCGCGTTTGTACACCCAGCGATGGCTAAGACCCGTCCATTCCCGTTCGGCTCTGTCGATGGCACTGTCGGCTCGTCCTCCATGCGCCTTAAAAAGCCGAATACTTGACAAAACGAAACATTTGAGACTAGAGAGAAGAGAGACTTGATTAAACATCAAAAACAAACGATAACTCAGGAACAGAAATCAATTTTACTGAACGAAAACAAAACAGTTAGAAAACATTCACAGATCCATGTATTCTTTGGAAGATGAGGAGAAGCAGGAGATTTCCTCACGATGCGATAGCATATCTTCCTGACTCCAACACTCTTCATCTTCTTCTCTCTCATTGACTTCTTCTGTACAGGTTACTTTCAAGGCATTCACAAAAGGATTGATGTAATCGATGTCATCAATGGGTATTGTATTAGGAATCGCTTTGGTCGCTGCATCGCCTTGGCCAAGGAACTCTTCCGAACCATCTGAGCTGAACATGTCATCCTCTTTGTGTGATATCACACCGTCAGATGATGAAAAACATCTTGGTGATTCGGTAGACTGAAAAGATAGGAAACCCTTGCAAGGAGAACTTAAGCGAAAGATTAACTGGACACTCATCACTAGAGAAACAGCTGGACTCAGAGAACATGTCTTCTTCCGAAGTGCATTCACTGAAACAGTCATCTTCTCTCTGAAACAGAAGTATGAAGTGTGGTACGAGAAGAATTTGTTCGAACATGGCGAACGGGATTGGTTAGAGGTGTTTGAGAATCGATCGGGAAGGTACTTTCGTGTTTTCTAAACAACAAGAATATGACGGATCTATCAGGAAATTCCGGAACTTTTTGTTTGCATATTCGAAAAAGTTTTGTAAATCATGCTGCACACGAGTTGCTAATTCGGAATTATTCTTTACACCTAACAAAACATTCTATTCGAGAGAGAGAGAGCGAGTGAGAAGAAATGAAACTGACCTGTGATGTCCCAAGCAGCTTTACGTACGCTATCATCTTTGCTTATGGTGAGGATTGTGAGAATACTATCAGCGACACTTTTCACATAATCCTCAAGTTGTAAGTCGAATGTGCTCATATTCTGGAAGTGATAGAGTTATTCTTTCAACCATATGAACAAAAATCCAAATAAGTGTTGAGTGTCGACAGATTGTCAAAGGGGAAATCAATGTTCAAATATTTATTGGAGGATAAGATACAGCGCTGAATGAACTTTATCATTGTTCTCAAGTTGGTGTTAGGAGACGTGAGAGATCAGTAAAATGAGATAAACTGTCGCTAATGCGAATTGATGATAAGAGTTGATGGTGAAAGACTCAATCTGCCCCATCGCTGTCTTCTCCGTTACTATCTGTGGCAACAACAGTCTTATCACTCGATCTTTCCGTTCGGCGTAGTTTACTCTTATCGGGCTTATCAGACATAGAAAACTGTTTTGAGCTTCTGCGACTAGATCTCCTCTGAGTAGTATCATCTACGTTCATTTGACTCAGTTCACTTGCTGCTTCCCCTTCATCATATTCATCCGGCGATGAATCGGCAGCTCGTTTAACAGGTCGCCTGGATGTTGCCATCGACATCTCTGCATCTTGTTCTCCTTCACTCTCGGTTAGTGTCTGACTTTGAGATTCGCTTTCCTCAGTATATTCATCATTCGGTTGGAAATGGCGGAGAAACACTCGTTTGTCCTGGCAAAGAAGATCAGAAGTCAAAGGTTTTGCACATTCGAGGCAATTAATGGAGCCTTTCGACGCTTCTATTAGTCTGAAACAAACCATTTGTAAATCTTTCGCGGAGAAAATGAACTCCACTTTCGGAAACATCGTTGATGGAACTTCTGTTGGCATCCAGGACACGCCGCACAATATTGAGAACTGAAAATGAAAATTAGCATAAACTCATTTTCGAACTCGAATGCATTAGAATCGGTTGCTCATGCTGTTCGGAAACATCGATCAACATGCTAAAACGGTTTTTTTGTTAAAATCTTACTCAATCGTCGCGCTGTTGCAGTATACACAATGAGGTATGCTGTATTGGAATCGCAAGAGAGGTTCAAGTTCCGCTACCAAACGTACATCCATCTCCAGGAAAGTTTTGCATTCTGACTGAAATTCATTTCGTTCGTCACTTTCTCATAACTAGACGAATACCCAATAGAACCATTTTTGTTTAACTAGTGCATTCAACAAGGTCTCAACTTGCTTGGCAAGCATTGGGTTAGGCAATTTACGGCTGAACTCCCGCGCCCACGTTCGCTCAATTTTTCCTTCGTTTTGAAGTGCATGCTTAACGAAGCTAGTGATACAAAAGTGATCATCCTCTCTGGAAGTGTAAATGATTGCTGATCAGACTGTCCCGACAAACTTCCAGCCGGATGCTACCAGCATAGCATTCGAAAAAGGACGTTCACTACAAATAACAACAAACTGTTTTTCATTGGACTCTTTGGTAACAAGCTTAATTCGAAACCCAATCTGAACAATAAGGAGAATAAGCCAAACTGCTAGAGTAGAACCTGCTGGCATTTCTGATTGCAAACTTTCAATAACGTTTTAATGAGATCATCAATATCACTTTCAGTAGCTTCACAGCTCGCAATACATTTGACATCCCCTGAACAGCAAATACAGTGTGGTAAGTTTCAAAAAACCGAACTCACTTTGTAAAGTAACCGATACGTGATATTTGAGATAAGTGAGGTAGAACTGCTTTTTCTGCAGCGAAAAAAAAATTTAAACAAACAACAAACAACTCACAGTAATAGAACCTTTCTGAATCAAAGACTGAATTACATAGCGATGTGCATCGGTGAAATTCTTAGAATCTGCAGTGAGCTCGGCTAGGACAGTTCTGGTCTGCAATGTAAGTAAGATGAGAGTGTGATGAAGCAAGTTAGGAGGGAACTCACTTCAGTTACAACATCTTCAGACATTTGCCTGTAATTACAAAGATGGGAGAGTGAACGAAACAATTTGAGAATATGGAAAAAGGCAAAAAACCCTCATTGAAAAGAGGACTGTTGAGAAAAATGTTTATTGTCATCAAATGCATGTAAGTAGTAAAAGCACCAGTGTAACCAGTAAATCAGTATAAATGCTGCGATATACAGCGAGCAATTAAGTAGATCATTGTAAACAAGATGAAATATTCGGAAAAAAATAGATAATTTGCCTAGTCAATAGCTTATTTCCCCCGATCACCGGATGGTCAACGAGATTTCGAAATCAAAGCTCATTTTCACTTTTGATGTCAGAATAGTCTCGTTGGATTGAGTTTATTTTATCTAGCAGCATTGTATCAATGTCATGATCTTCTAACATAAAACTATCTTTGTATCTGTTAAGCAATGAGTTGACAATATGAAAAAAAGAATTCAAACTGACCGCCAGTTCTGAACGGCTTGCACCGGTGAATCGCACTTTTCCTTGTCGATTTCATCAACAGTCAGCGGATTGTGCCATCGTCCGTGTATATAGATATCTCGTCTTCTGAATACATCATGAGATTATGCTACTTGTCTCTTTTCATTTCTACATACCGTTCCTGCCAGCCATGAAACATGAAATCTTTCGAACTCCATTTCGAGTTTGAAAGCCATCCATCCCGAGACCAGGCTGTTCTTCCCTAAGTATCATCATACTTTATATCATATTCAATAACTTCACATACTTTCGGAAGTATTGTTATTTGTTTCAATGGTTGTTTCAAAAACAGCTCCTGCACACAAACCTCGAATATCGACAGAGTATTATAGTCGCTGAAGCATTGCGATGTGTATAGTAAGAAAGAACGAAAGGACATACATGGATTTTTCCCATAACCTTTGACACTTTTCTATTTGGCTAGTATTTCTATTCTGTGAAAGAGCGTCAAACTTCAATAAGACCATCTAAAAAAAAAACTCAGGTGAGATGGTCTAGAAGCGCGGAACCGGAGAAATTTGAATATTACATGACGCGGACTATCATTTCGAAAAATGTTTTGGTGGAGAACGGTTGTGTATAGGTCATAACGTATTCTTTCTTTTCGGTCATGTTTTGATTTTTCTCCAATTAGCATTTGATTTCAAGTTTTCTTCAAATTTGTTTCAAAATTATGTTTTAATAAGAAGAACTGACATGCAGAGCTCCATTATCAGTGCCATGAAATGAGTTAGGCAATTGAAATTCGTAATTTGCCCAGAAACTTAAAAATTTACGAGAATATCCGGAATTTCTGTAAAGTGAATGAAAACTGCTGCTGAGATTGTTGATAGAAAACAAACTTGAATAAGTATGATCCAGCCATCACTTCGTGATTGAAAATGCGGCGATAAAATATAATCTGCTTGTCATCCCTCGGTATATATTCTTCTATTAAGTGATTGGGATTCATTACGCCAATATCGGCATCGAGGAAAAGCAGCCACTCGTCCTTGATTTCTTTAAGCTTTTCGACCACAAAACAGTGGCGTCGAAAGAAAATCTGAAGCAGGATTAGAGGAAAGATTATGAAATACTAAACCGAACATCTTTCTGTTGGCATTTGATGCCTATATTCGTCAGGATTGACATATCAATTATATACAAATTATATTTGTACATTTTGGAATAACATTCTACGGTTGAGCGAGCTGTTCTATATTGATTTTGATTTTTGGTATCTCCTATTACTATAATTATGCCGATGTTTATAGTACTATCTAAAATTGCGTTTCTGAAACATACGCTACGAATGAATGTGACTAACTTCGAACTTTGTAAGATTTCAAAACTATTTCTTCTCCATAGCTATTCATTATTTTCATGAAGATGATGCCTTTTGTCACCTCTTCCACAAGAAAAATAAGAGAAAAGCCAATTATGGTGAAGAGTATTAGCCATCTTGAACCAAATTTCATAAGCTGGAAGTCTACGTATGGACAACACAGTAAGCAGAGACATAAGTATTCCTGCTGTCCGCAACAGAGTATGCTAAACAACAAGAGAGTCGCATAATCATTTATTGTACAATATAACAATATTTCGTTTGTGGTATTCTTTGGTTTGAATGTCAATCGTCCAAGGATAATCTATGACGTCAATACCTCTTGCCCACCGTTTGTTATAGCTCTTCCAGAGTATTGATCTTGGTTCTTAATCTGCTCCTGGTGTTGAAATACAAAATTCAAAACTACCATAAAAGGAGATCAAAAGAATGCTGAATCGATAAATCAAGAAAAGTTCAAATGTGTAGTGTATGACTAATTCTCTGGTTAGGTTGGCAGTCAACGTGCCCCATTCAAAAGTGGTTTCGGTCTTGACGCGATAACTTTCAGGCTACGGTATTCTTCCAGTGCAATTTGGCCAATGCTCCTCCTCTCAGTATTCGTTGCTGTGGTGACTGCAGTTGCGGAGTTCTGTACCAACGAGTCTGTTTGTGATAAGATGACTGCTACCCAAGAAAGAACCTTCATCGCTGTTAAGCCCGATGGTGTCCAAAGGTTAGTTTAGGATTTCATAAGTGAACCACTTCGCTTCTTCAAATTGAAACATTCTTATTGTTATGATGCAAATTTTTCAGAGGACTTGTCGGAAAAATTATCCAAAGATTCGAGGAGCGCGGATACAAGCTTGTTGGTCTTAAGCAATTGACTGCTTCCAAGGCCCACCTTGAGGTGATTTTTATCTGAAAATGCTATTTGTTACCTTTATCGATTCGCAGGTTCACTACCAAGACTTAAAGGACAAGCCATTCTTCCCCAGCCTCATTGAGTACATGGCTTCTGGCCCAGTCGTCGCTATGGTCTGGCAAGGACTTGATGTTGTCAAGCAAGGACGTGTCATGCTCGGAGCTACCAACCCACTCCAATCCGCCCCAGGAACCATCCGCGGAGACTTCTGTGTCCAGACCGGAAGAAACATCTGCCACGGATCTGACTCTGTCGACTCTGCCAACCGTGAGATCGCTCACTGGTTCAAGGCTGACGAGCTCAACGATTACGAGAGCACCACCATCAACAAGTGGGTCTACGAATAAGCAGTTACCATGGAATACTCAGTTTTATTGTTATTATGACAACAAATAAACACGTTTTTTTCCATAACTATGTATTGTTGATGATATTAATTAGTTTAAAGTAAGCAGTGACTA